TTTTAGTATTTAGGGCCCCCACCCGCCGCTCAGGGGTGGGGGCCAGGGGGGAGGACCTTAGGTCCCCCCCTTTTTGGTATTTAGGGCCCCCACCCGCCGCTCAGGGTGGGGGCCAGGGGAGAGGACATTAGGTCCCCCCCCTTTTTAGTATTTAGGGCCCCACCTGCCGCTCAGGGGTGGGGGCCAGGGGGGAGGACCTTAGGTCCCCCCCCCTTTTAGTATTTAGGGCCCCCACCCGCCGCTCAGGGTGGGGGCCAGGAAGGACAGCAGGTCCCCCCTTATTGGTAGGGCCCCCCACCCACGCTCAGGGGTGGGGGCCAGAGGAAGGAACCTTGGGGTCCCCCCTTATTCAATTTAGGGCCCCCCCCCGCTGCTCAGGGGTGGGGGCCGGGGGGGAGGACAGTAGGTCCCCCCCCTCATTATTTTTATGGCCCCCACCCACCGCGCAGGGGTGGGGGCCGGGGGGGAGGACAGTAGGGCCTCCCCCCCATTGTAATTAATGGCCCCACCCGTTGCACAGGGGTGGGAGCCAATAGTTTTTGTTTTGTTTTGTTTTGTTTTTTTTACAGTGAGCAGCCACTGGCTGCTCACTGCTTACTAGACATGCCCCTACTCGCTGCATAGCGAGTAGGGGCAGATCATTTACTAATACTAAGTAATCTTTACTTCGTATTAGTAAATGTGGCTGAAAGACCAATTTAGGTCTTTCAGCCTTTTAGTAGATAACTCCCTAATACCGTGGGAATTAGGGAGTTATCTACTAAGCGGCTGCAAGATGCAGCCGCGGATCGGAGTTTGCATGCCACAGTCCAGGTGTTAGTCCCCTTGAAACATCTTGTGTGTTTTAAAATTCGCCTGTCTATTGAAGTCTATGGCGGTTCGCCCGGTTCGCGGGTTCGCGAACATTTGCCGAAATTCGCGGTCGCCGTTCGCGAACCGAAAATCTTATGTTCGCGACATCACTATTGATCAGTTTGCAGAATGTATTTCTGATGCTTCCTCAAAGTATCTGCTGGACATTTACTTCCCCTATTACAGAACATCTGTTTGTAGATGCAACAGAATAAATTAAACATAATATTTGATTCTGTCTTTATAAAAGATTATAATAGCTTTTAGCAATACACTAGAAAAATAAAATCAGATTTAAGATGGCTAATGCTTACTAAATGGAGGCTGATTATAAAATCATGCGTAACACTTCCCTTTTTCTTCTATCTTATTCCTTTTCCCCTTCTTTTTTTCTGTATCTCCTTTGCTTCCCTTCCTTTCTCCTTCCTTTTTCACCCTTAATATATTCCTTAAATCCATTTACCTCTGAATCAGTTGGTCATACTCTTAAGACATAGTGTATTCCAAAATCTCACATTCAATCTTCAGATTTGCAATTTAATACTGCCTGTTTCTTTATAACAGAGAATGAGAGTCCCAAAAGGCTTCATGAAGCAGATAAAAGAAAAAAAAAATGTTTTCCTATTGGGAAATCATAATGCAAATGTGGCCATTGCTGCACGTGCTCATTAGGTCTTTCCTCCGTTGTTGAATGTCGGCGGGGGAGGAGTGTTGGTGGAGCTGAGCCAGCGCCGAGGGACATCAGCACTGGACCCAGGTAAGTGACAGAAGGGGTTATTAATCTCTTCTGTACCACGGGGATGGAGGGGCTTGACAGAAAAACAAGTTTGTTTTCCTGTCACTATAGTTTTCCTTTAATGAAATTTCACTTGGCAAAATTAGCCACCACAAATCAAACAGTGTATCTGTTTTAGTGTGCATTTCAGCTTGTTGCATTCCTGTTCTGGAATTTAAAGGGACACTGTAGTCGCCCAGACAACTTCAGCTCTTTGAAGTGGTCTGGGTGCTGTGTCCCTTTTGCACTTAGTGCTGCAATGTTAAACATTGCAGTTCCAGAGAAATGCAATCTTTACATTGCAGCTCTAAATCTGCCCTGTGTGGCTGTCCAACAGATAGCCACTAGAGGGCTTTTGGAATCTAAACGGACTTCCAGGGGCAGATTTTCCGCATAGTGAAGCATTAGGTCTCCCCCGTTGGCTGACGTCGGCGAGGAGGAGTGTGGGCGGAGCCTGACCCAGCGCCAAGGGACATCGGCGCTGGGTTCAGGTAAGTGGCTGAAGGGGTTTCAACCCTTCAGCCACACGGGAGGTGGTCAACGAGGGAGGAGGGCACTACAGGTGCCTATAGTGACAGGAAAACTGGTTTGTTTTCCTGGCACTATAGGATCCCTTTAATATCACAGGTTTCTATACACCCGAGATGAGATTCCACTTGATAAAAGTATCAATATATACAAATGGCTATTCTTTAAATAATTACTGTATTTTAAAAGGAAAATAAATACCTGATTAAAGTCCTGTTAATATCACAGGTTTTAACCCTTGGTGAAATTCACCTTAACAAAAATAGTGGGGTCCCCACAAATCACACCAATGGCTTATCCATTTTTAGTGTGCAATCCAGACTGAATCCTCTTTAAGTAGGTGAATTATGGCAATAAGAAAAATGCTTATTATCTGGTTATCATGGGAACATTTAGAGTGCCAAATGTCAGACGGTGCATATCGATTTGGTTACGGTGCTGAACCCTATTATTGCACCGTATTCTCCATGAACCTCAGCCTAATGCAAGCAATGTGCGCATGCACGCACCCTACACCCCCATGCTAATCTATTTATTTATTACTCATTTTACTAGCTGCTACACTGCATATTATCATTGTCCTATACATTTTAACAATTTTACCTTGTACCAATAAAGTATTTATGTTGTATCTAAATTGTGAAGAACTCAGATCTATCGCATTTGTTAAAAGAGGTTAATTTATTTTGAGTAATTTCTCCGTATCTGTAAGTTAGATCTATTAAACTTGTGAATTGCTCCGTGTCTAAATTGTCCTTTGGTAGCAAATATATGTGAATATTGATTTGCACCTCAATACACTTGAAGTGGAGCTCTTATTTCAAACCAGATATTTTTGGGTAGCGTGGAGATATTATTGTATACAAATTAATCCTCTGCAAGTGGTTACTGCCTCTTTAAATAGAAAAAAAAAACAGATTAAAGTCCTGAGATTTCTATATATCCTTGATGGGATTCCATTTTGTAAAAGTATTAATATATGCGATCATTACTTGATCATCTTCAAGTAAGTACTGCCTCTTTAAAAGGAAAAGACAGCTTAAAGGGAAACTATAGTGCCAAAAAATGTTGTTTTCCTATAGTTAAACACACCTTCTGTCACTGACCTCAGTTTAGCACCAATGTCCCTTGGTGCTGCCTCAATACCTTTTCTATCAAGAATTATTTAGTAGCATTTTTACAAATGTCTTCAAAATTATTTCCATTAGGTTTTTATTTTTTATATCAATTGACTCTTTTTCACTTTGTGTCACTTTTCAGGTGACATCACACTTACAGATTTCCAGATATATAGATAGTGAAACTATATCAGCATTTTTATATCGGACATCTGTCTCTTTAAACCATTTTGTTAATTTATTCTCAGTCATTAAAAAGACAGCCAATCTTCAGTAAAATAGTTTTATGAAATTACAGAACTTGCAGAATAGTTCATATCATTCTATTTAAACATTTCTCACATAAGGTAAAAAATGATAGTGTTACATAAAATGTCAAGCTAATTAAATTATGTTACAGATTTATACCTGTAATTATCTTTTTACAAATGCACTGGCAGTTTGAAGTTTCTATTACTAGGCTTGTTCGACTTTATTCTTTTTTTTTTCATATTCATTTCTCA